ACTCAGGGGAGAGCGCGGGGTTGTATCAAGTTTTGACCTATTATAACACATAAAGATATATCATAAAGATATGTCTGACAAGTAAACATAAATATCCATGTTGCTTTGATCACCTTCCATTGCAAATGTGCAACGTTGTCAAGCTGGACCTGGAATAATATCAAGCAAAAGCCTTTGTCTTATAAATGGTCATCTAAAAATAAAGTCAGCATTGCAGGTATGGCATGCAGAGCCGTCCCTGGCCTCCTCTCTGTTATATCCTTTCATAATGTTTGTGGGTCAAGTTTATTTGTGTGCTTATGATGTGTGTGTGTGTGTGTGTGTGTGTGTGTGTGTGTGTGTGTGTGTGTGTGCGTGCATGTGTGTGTGTGTGTGCGTGTGTGTGTTTGGCTTGCTTTGTCGGAGAGCATGTGAATGATGTGGTGATGCGTGCAAAATGTGTCAGGCTAATACTCTAACTCGCTTCATTAGTCCTTGTGTATTATAGGAACACTGCAACAAAACAAAGCCTGCGCTGTCTTACATGACCGGCACTGGTTTGTGCTCGCACACAGACGTCTGAAGGGCAACGTATATAGAAAGGGATTTGCTATCTAAAGCAGGGGTCCCCATCAGTCTATCCGAAAAATGTACCTCCAGGCAGCGTGTGGTGAGACCTCAATGCAGAGGCTGAGAGAGAGGGGCCAGGAGAGGATCACTGCCCTAGTTCCATCCTGGAGACACAGGGGGCGGGAGCCAGGTCGCACACCTCAAACCCCACCGCCTGGGTTTCAGAAAGCGTTGGAGCGCACACACACACCTCAGGAGCAGCTGAAGCAGGAGCAGAGTGTTGAGGAGCAGAGTGTTGAGGACCATCGTCGGGACCAAGACAGTTTGTTTTCCAGGAGCTACTCTTCCTCATGACTGCACGGTCTACAGGTAGGGTTCCCAGTTGGAGAACTGTGAACAGATGCTTCATGCCCTTTGTGAACAGTATGATTTCACACTAACTCCCATAATTATCATAATAGAATTGAGGAGTTTCAAGGTGTACTGAACAAGATTTGATGAAATCACATCAACATGAGTTTTCTTCCACTGATTAGAATAACTCAGAGCCTGTTTGAATATTCTCTCTGTTTGTTTGTGTTATTTACGAGTCACTGGTTGTTGAAATTAAACTTTGATTCTACTCAGCATCCTGTTAAATGCCTAATGCTTTCATCGCTTCTTGACAAGATCCTGTCTGGCTCAGTGAAATCCCCTCGTTCTCCTGGATAATAAATCTGCTGTTTAATGCATGATGCCGCCACCAGATCGCCTGCCACGCTTTCCCCCAACTTCAGCAGGTTTCCATAATATTAAGGAAATAAAACTGCATATACTCCCTTTAGAACATTGCTTTAACAGAGCTGATCATTAAAGCAAATAGGACATTTTCGTATTCCGCTACACAATTTGGTAAAATATGCTGATTCCAAACAGTTGCATTGCTTTGAAAAAAACATAGATTTTGGACTTTTAGTGTAAAATCTTTATGGTGAATAAAATAACAGGCCACAAATCTTAATCTTAATCCCAAAAAGGCTGAAACATCACCCAAAAAAAGATATTTCATTGCACATGCAGACATAGGAAAATACAGATACATCTGTCCAACAATCCTGCACAGGCACAGAAAACCTCTAAGGATGGATTAACCAAACATGCTCGTTTTGATCACTGGGAGAAAATCGGAAATGAACACAGACTTATAAGTGTTGCACTCACTTATTGTAGCTTGATACAATAAGTGCAACAAGTGGTTTAAACCTACACTGCTACAATGTCAGAAAAACATTTAACATTTTCTACTTTTTTGTACAGGAAAGGCCAAAAGGGACTGTTTTTCTCTCACAACAACATATTGTCTTGTTATATGCAAAGTAAACGTGGAAAAAGACTGATTTAAGCATTTTGACATGCAGAGGGTTAATCTCGAGAAATCAGTTATTTTAGCATATTGTTAAGGCATAAGGACAAAAACTGTCATCTTGCAGTTGGTACTTACATTATTTTATAGTGGAATAAACTAGAAATCCCGCTGCATGTCTCCAGAAATTCCCCACTTGTGCAGAGCCTTTTCAAAGCTTTAAGAAACTATTCACCTCCCCGCTGCTACTTAATGTCCCACCAAGAAGCCATTTGCAAGCAGGAGATGCACGTGACTTACACATGACAGGATACATCTGTAGGGATCGACACTGAGAAGATGTCCACTTTTGTCAGTGTCATCACAGTGGAATCCGAGAGACAGACGCCGTCCACAGAAGCGACGGTTGCGACGCTGCGGTTGACAGATGGTTGCCCTTGCCTTTTCTGTCAAACGCTCATAAAGCATTCTGCCAGCATATCTAACTCTGAGTCAACATTCTGCACCAGCATTTCATGGAGCGAGATCCATAGAGCTCCGTAAATCTGGTAATTATGCCTTCACGCAGTCACTTTTGGGACAGATGAAAGAACCGAGGCTCCCTCCTGTGTGCTCTGTATGCGAAATGAATCCCAATGATCCACATTCATGGCTTGATGTGAAGTTTTAAAAAGAGAGATGATGGACTTGTGCTGTGGGGATGAGTAGATGGGGGGAAAAAATGCAATGTGAAAAAAATATGAGGAAAAAGTTGAGCAGGCAAAAGAATATTGAAAATGAGCTTGTGTAGATGTGACGCAGGGATGACTTTGTGGACTTCTTGGAAGGATTTTTCCTTTTTATCGGAGTCCAGTGTGACTAGAAGTCTCTAATGCTGCTCCGGGGAAACGTTTTTGTGGAATTGACCAAAGAAAATCACTGCAATCATAAACGAAATCGTTACCAGGAGGAACCACAGGCGGTGCTGTCAAGCGATGCGGACAGATGCTGCACCTGTTGGAACCCCTCAGTTCACTTCTGCACAGGAATCCATCAGTCTTTTTTTTGTGCAGCATCATGACAGCTCATTTCAACTTCTGCACACTCACCTCATGGCTGTTTCTAGCAGAGATCCAGGAGGTTCTCTGAGAAACCATTAAGTCAAAGCACATTGCCTTGAGGTAGCAGTGTTTACTGAGGCTTCTGGATTTGAGCCAGATTGTAAGAGTTTTCTTACATTCTGGCTCACTTTCAAACTGGATCAACAGAAGAAGATAGAAACCTTGGAGGTGCTCGTGACATTAGAAGTACGTTTGCAGCTTTGTCTATGCCATAGATACGCCTCCAGAGCGCTGAGGAATTACACCATGCAGGCATTGCTGCAGGCAAAAATAGCTATTTGAAGATGAAGTAGCAGCAAGGTAAAGCTGATGCAGCTTCTCTCCATTTATCTCAAAGGGTTGTAGGATTTTAAAGGAGGCGTACGCGTTGTAATTTTACACATCACATTGAGTTTACACATCCCTGGGATGCAAACGGTTGTGAGAGCAGTTTGCTCAGAGCCCTGGAGGGAGTTCTCCACAGTCTGCAAACTTCCCCTTGATGTCTTTGGGTTTGAGACCTAATATCTTCATGATGATTTCCACTTCATGAAGTGTTCGCGCAAATAACCTACAGCAAGATGGAAGAAACAGCACCATCAAGTTTTATTGGGGTTCGAACTCTCAGAGTGAGTGTGACAGCGTTCTCCTCGAAGAGAAGTAAGGCCATGACTTTTGTTTTGGCTTTTTCTGAGGTCAGGATGTAATACACAATCACTGCCAGGAACGATTATGTGTGTTCAGTCTGTGTTACTTCCAACAGTCCCAGCAGCAAAAGTGAAATCTAGAGCATTCATAAGAACAGAACATTATGAAGAGTTCACTGGAGACACTTTAGGGTTTATTTCAGGACATCCAGTAGTTCAGAAACACGTATTCATCTGATTATTTGTTTCAAAGGGGCGTGAACAGTTTTTATCTTTTTACTAGCAAATTACATCAATCAGCCCCTCCAGTTTCTTGAGAATTATTGTGGAAATTTATGCAAAAACAACAAATCCCCTCACTTTTTTAAACGAATATGTAATTGGGATTTTATTGCAGATTTTCCTCAAAAATTATCAGAAACTTTCTTACTTGCACTAAACAGCTGCCTCTGGCTTAATTGATGTCAGATTACAGTCCATGATCTATACAGCGAGAAATAAAAGGTCACATTTACTGAAAGAGATAAATGCAAATTCCGCAAATATTGCCAAATTAGTAGCACAAACATTTGATTTTTATTGCAAATAAAATCACAGGAAGTATCACAAAATCCTGGAGGGATTGAAAAGATGTTTAATTCATTGATATTGTAACAGTTTGTGAACAGGTTTCATCAGTACTTTCTGGCACAACCGGCCCCTTTAAGTGCATTCATTATCTTAGCCCAAACGAAAACGGGTTTGATACCCCTGATCTGTTACTAAAACATGTTGCTGCGACAACAACATAACTGAGCCAGCACAAATCCCTAGTGTTCATTTTACTTTTATCTCAGTTTATGAGACTTTGCTTTACTCTCAGAATGTGGGCAACGTCTCGGATCCAATGAAGCATGGAATTTATTCTTAAAAAGCTGCAAATGTATAGTTTTTACACGTGTCGACTCCATCAGACACCATCGCAACGATCTAAATAAAGCTGCGTCAGCCTGGAGGTGAGTGGATGTTCAATGAACCAGGAAATCTGGCATTGTCACGTTATTGCTACATGGGGGAAAATAAGGCGCTGCTCTGCTCAGTGGTTTTTATACTTTACTGCACTATACCACTCTAACCCATCTGCACTCAACATCTGGTCTGAGACTAGTCTTACTTGAATGGATTTTTAAGAAGGTTGCATTTTGAAGGTCGAAGAGTGGACCTGCATATTTGTTTTATGATTGAAGCTGCATTGTGTTGGTTGGGTTTAAATGTGCAGCATTCAGAATCATGCAAAAGGTAATTAAGCAGCTTAATCTACCTTGACACTATGTCTAAGGTGGTTATCTTAAAGCAACAGAGAGCAAACACACACACACACACACACGCACACACCCCCACACACACACACCCCACACACACACACACATCTTTCCCATTCACATGCAGCTCTCTCTCTCTTTCTCTCTCTGTGTGGCGCCATAGTGTAAAACGCTGCAGCTCTTCCAGGCGAACAGTCAGAGGCTGTTGCCTATAACACACACACACACACACACTCACACAGACCCGTCCTCATTCAGCGACCGGCTCACTTTCTCACCACACGCTTCTACTCGCCTCCTCACAGCATCTGCCTCCTTCTGGAGCGAGGTACCATGCGTCCTCCTCCTCCGTTGCGCTTGTCCTTTGCATTCCCAGGGTCCCTTCACCACCCAGGGCTCTAATGCTTAAAAACCAAGAGACCCTTAACAAAAAAGAAAAAGCAGCTGTGTGACTTCCTACAGGAATTTGGAGACAGATCAACCCGTTTTGTTTTTCGTTGCCGCTGTTGCTTGTGAGGGAAATGCTGCATGTGTTTGGATACATATCTGCACTGGACTCCTGATCCCTCTCAAAAGTTGTGAGCGAGTCCGAAGACATCCAGACGTCCATCCGTGCATCTTTCTACTTGACCGCCGGCAACTCGCTGTGTAAGAACCCCAGCATCAGTTAGGATTTGTTTTTTTGTTTGTTTGTTTTTTTGCGCCTGCGCTGTTTACCAGGAGACATGTTTTCTTTTGTTTTTTGTTTTTTTTGCATGCACGGTTTTAAATCGGCAGGCATGGGTTTATTCTTAAGACGTGTGTCCGGGTGTGAGTATCTATAATTACCTCGCATGCTCGTCAGCTGCGTCAGTGCGTCCTGCACCGGTGGTGCAGCGTTACACTCGTCACTTCAAGAGCCTGACTGAAGGTTCAGCTGCAGCGAAAGGGTGAAAGGAGACTGACTGAGGTCCTGTCAAATTTCTGCATTACAGACGAGCACAAAGGAAGTAGATGTAGAAGAAAGTAAATTTGGTTTGAAAAGTTGTAGAAAAGGTAAAAATACATAAATAAATATGTGCACCACAAAGACCAAAAACAAAAAAACATGGCAGAAGGCAAATAGACAAAACATTTTTTTCAAACGTTCTTCCTATAACTCTAAGTTCATTTTCTAACTGACCGCCTTCTAATCAACCCATCCTTCTCTCTTCATCTCCATCCTCTCTGCAGTTTCCAGGTGCAGACAGACTGGCTGGGGAATCCCTCACACTCTGACCAAGACCCTGACATGTCCGGCCGTGAGAAGCTGCACGAGACGGCGACTCTTCCCTTAAAGCAAACCGAACAACCTCCTCGTTGCCTCATGCAGTTTCCACATGAGCTTCAGCAGAACTAGGCAGGACTGGCTCGCTCTCAACTTCACATAGTCTCAATCCCAGCTTCCGCAGACAGACCCGGAGGCTCTCAAGGGCGTTAAGGGCACCAACAGGGTCCCGTTTGTCTTGGAGCGTTCTTGCGGCAGTCTGCCAGCAGCCATGCAGGTGTCCTTCGCGTGTACGGACCACGGGCTGAAGGCCCCTCGCAACGGCGAGCACAGCAAGCAGAACGCCACCAGCCCCAACACGACCAGCCATGCCCGCGCCCGCTTCCGCACCGTGGCCCTGATCGCCCGCAGCCTGGGCTCCTTCACCCACCGCTACCACCACAACCTGAAGGAGTCCACCGCCAAGTTGACCGGCATGAAATACCGGTATGTAAAATGACGACGACGGACAACGTTGTTGTTTGCGTGAAGAAGAAAACAAAAAACTGACACACAGAAGCAGCAGGTGGTGGAAAGAAAAGAGCACAGCGAGGAGGTGATGGGGATGAGGGGAGAAAAAACTTAAGATGTGATGAGGGACAGGTGATGAGTGGGATGAATGATTGTGACATTTTTCCCAAGCTGCATGTTCATCTTCTCAGACTGAAAAGATAAATATGAGGGAACAACTCGAGAGCGTTCCAATACAGCCACAAAGTTTAGTATATTCATTTTTGGTATTTTGCTTATTTTTTTTTTCTGAATGTTTAAAACAAATCCAAAAGATCCCCCGTGCATCGCTTGGGATGATTCAGATGGTCTTGTCACAGATCAGATTTAAACTGCTGACTGGAGCATTCTAACACAAAAACAAGCTGTCACTTCTTCCACTGTAGCTCTGGCTGCACGTTTAGCATCATAGTTATGAACCACCCAAAGCAGCCTGTAACGTATTGTCCCTCCGGATTGCCATGTTTTTATCTCTGTGGATTGACAGCTTCCCTGTCCCTGCTTACCAAAAGCATTCCCGCAGCATGATCTTACCACCACTATGCTTTCTGTAGGAGTAGAGTTGTTCGACGTGTATGTCTTGATAGCTAAATTAGGTGAACTCTTGATTTTATTTTACAGATGTAAGAGTAAAGAGTCTGGGCACAAATGCATGTCATTATGTAAATATTTCGGGAAATAGTAGGAAGACATCTTTTCCTTCCACTCCACGGAGAACTTACTGACAAACATTGACCCAAATAGAGCAGTTACGATAAAGAAGCAAAAAATATATATACATATAATTCGCTTAAAATCAAAAAGCACACAGACTTTTAAAACAACAACAAAGTATGCCAAAGAGGAACTGGACATCCACAGTTTGTGCTTCCGCGTCAACGTTGGGTTTGCTCTTTCAGGTCTTCGTTTGACACTCTGACTGTGCTGCATGCAGCTCCATTAATGACTTGCCACCATCGCACAGCACATTCTGGAAAGTGTGACAGTAAAAGCTGTGCGGTGCGGGTGGCGGAGCTCGCCGTGTGTGCACTTGTGTGGGAGTTGTAACAAAGCTGGGCCAAGTAAACAATGCTCTCTTATCTCCACGAGTGGGCTCTTAACCCAGACCGTGGGAGCAAAGCGGGAGTTTTCGCCTCACCAGGGAGACAGACATCATCCTTTACCGAGGCGAGATGGAGAGAGAGAGAGAGAAGAAAGGATGAAGTTAGAAACTAGGAATGGAACAGAATGAAAGAGTTCACACTAAAGAGGCAGATTTGATGCACAGTGGCGAAACTGTGATAAGTGCCTGTCACGCGTTCTTATCTCGTCTCCATGACAACCACAAAATGGCCAATTTCTTGGGTTCCCGACAAAAGTCTGGTGATTCCTGTTGTTCTAAGCGGCTCAGCATCTGTTCTTGAGTTGTTTTTGTCCAAGAAGTTAACTCCGGACTTGGATCCTTGCCGTAGCTTCCTAGAAAACGGACAGCAGCTTGACCTGCCTCCACCTCAAAGAACCAAACGGTGTGCTATACGTCGCCCTCCTCCTTTCTCTCCAAACCCATGAATCAAAGCGCTTACAGCAGATATTTTTGTTCCTTTGGATGTTACCTGACAGGGAATCTCCTTCTGTTTTTTTCCCCCCCTAGAAGTGAAAGCCAAGTTCAGTACCGTTCCTGCGTTGTACAAATTCTTTGAAGTTCTCTTGTGGTTTTAACAAATCTCACAGAGATTTTGTTCTCTTGGAAACGAGAGTTGTGGGCGTATACCCTTCCTGGCACATTAGGCTCAAGCACATCGGTGCATAGATGTGCGTTTGATGCGTGTGGCATTAAGCTTTCACACTGGGAACATCTGAAGGCGTAGCAAGTCGAAGCAGAAAAGTGGAGTGCACAGCAAGCAGGCCTAAACTAATAATACCACCACCCCCGACATCCTCGCTGTCATGGTGATCCAATTATAGTGTCCTTCTAATTGCAGTGTTCCCTCGTTGCAACTTTTCAAGGTTTTTTTTTTTAACTTTGTCGCAAAAAAAAAAGAAAACATAAAAGCATGTTTACAGCCTAACATGTATAATTAGCACAGATGCAGTACCCTGTCATGCTGCCGCCATAAACTTAAATGCTGGCTGCTTCTCGGTCTTGGTTTATGGGGTGCATGCTCCACCAATGCATCATGCGCTTTTGTATTATTATTTTTTGTGATCTGTAACATTTTCTCTTTTCCATCCACCTTCCCATAAGCTCTGACCAGCGTCTCTGACTTGCTCAGCAAAAGTTCCTCACAACATGATGCTGCCATCACAATGTTTTCCCGTCCTGCTTGCATAGGCAGCAGACTGGACTGATTGAATGCATGACAAATAGTCACACGAGCTCCTCCAGAATTACCCTGAGTTTCTTTGTAGCTTTTCTAAGTAACAATGTCCCATTAGTTCAGGAGGAACTCATTTGTAGTTGCTTTGTGGACTTTCCATTTTCCTGAGGTGAATTCAATGGTGATATATGAAATTCTAATATCTTGGGATATTGTTTCATAACCCAGCTTTAAACTTGTCCAGACCATTCTTCCTGGCTTAACTGCTGTATTTGCGGATCATTTTTTTAATGCTCTCTAACAAACCTCTGAGACTTTCGCAGAAAGCTGCCCAGAAAATAAACTACCCACAGTTTAACTCTTAAATAATTAGGTGACTTCTGAATTGTTTTATCAAGTATTATGAATTCATAGCATAGTAGTTTTCAGATTTATTTCTAAAAAGAATCAAAACCATGGCTCATTTTTCTTTTCCTTTTAGGTACTTCTTCATGTTAGTCAGTTGCACAAGGTCATAACAAAGTACGTTCAAATTTGTGGTTGTGATACAGAAAAATAGAAAGTTTTAAGGGCTGTTAGTACCTTTGCAAGGCACTGGGGGGGGAAAAAAGTTTTGTTAATAGGGGGGAGGTCCTGGTTGCCTCGATTAAGCCTTTTGACAGTGTTGCGAGCTAGAGGATGAAGCTGCTTGGACGGTTTAAAGTTGCACAGCAGAATGACGCAGAAATCCCTTCTGTTGAGGCTTATCAGCAACCAGCAGAGACCGAGTTTGCACGTATACATCTGTGTAAGCAGAGTTTTTTTTGTTTTTTTTCTCTGTGCTAGTCAAAAAATGGGTTTGGTGCCGTACTTTCAAAGATTTTGGCAACAAAACCCCACAAGTAAGTCGAATGAAACTTTTAAAACTGAACTCCAGTGATTTCTGTCCTGCTTGTTAGACAGAATCAGCCTGAGAGCAAAAATCACTCTTGCATTCACGGAATGCGACTCGTGCGCTTCTGCGCTTATCGTTTTAATTAGTTTCAATATTTTCCTCCGCGGAGTCCCCTCTATTTAATAAAGCAATGAACTACCACGGGCCTCGCAGGAAAATTAATAGTGAAACCGGATTCTGCTAAACAGTCTAATTTCTCCCAAGTCCAAGTTTTTAAGTGGGATCTCATCAGTGCGGAACTGAAAATAACCAGCAATTTGCATTTTTCTGCTATTGTACAGACAGTTTTTTTGTCAAGGACATTTCTAGCACATTGTACCGTAGATTATTTTTACATCTTAAGCAGCAAGTCAGCAAGAAATCTGCTGTGTTCTTTGGATGGCAGCTCATTTATTTAAATCATGTGAACCCCTGGGATTGCACAGCATGCAGATTGTACCAGTATTTCTGACCACAGAAAAACAAACTCCCAGACATTCTTCTCTTCTTTGCTGGCCGCTTTTGTTTTTGTTTTGTGTTTTTGTGAGGAAGCAAAGCTAGAGAGATTATTGGTGTCACTCCATGCATGTGTGCCCCCATGTAACCAATCGTGATGCTTTCAGGGCCAGATTGTTTTAGCGGTGTTTGCCCCTTCGTCTCCATCAACCCTCAATAACCCTTAATAATAATTAATTTTATTTTCCAGTCCCATTAACTTCTGCACTTCTCTCAGCTGTTATGTGAATTACTAATAATATGAGCGAGGCTGCTGCACAACAGGATCCCTCAAGCATGGAGTTGCCTCTCTGCCTAAAGACCAAAGAGGCCCCCAAGGATAAGCAGTGAGCAGTCCTCCTGCTTAAAACTCCAGGAAGTTGCATGAGCCAACCACATTTTAATTAAAGGTCAAAAGCAAAATTGCTTTCTGCAGGCAAAATGTTTGTTCTAAGCTCATGTAGAAAGCTTTCTCTTTTTTTCCACCTCTTTCTTTTTAATCGGGCTCCAAACAGGCTGTAAACACAGAGATAATTGGGGGCGATAAAACAGTAAGAAAGACTTTCTGCATGCGTGTAATCCTCGCTGAATGCTGTGCCTGTAAAAAAAGAACAACGCACGCCGGCTGACTTGAACAGATTGACTATTCTGATGGAATAAATTGAAGCCTTTATCTAAGTTCTTAGCAGAAAAAAGGGTCAGAAAGACAAGGTGGGTCTGATTTTTTTTTTTTTTTAAATGCAGGAATTTTTCCTAGTCTAACCTAGCTTTAAAAATTATTCTGACAAAGCTACTTCAGATTTGGTAAATTTTTTAAAAGCAGGTTAATTTAAGCAGGTGATTCCATATATATATGTTTCCTCCTGGCAAAGTCACAGAAAGCTCCACAAGTCAGTTGACCTTGTTTGGTGCATTTCGTTAACAGTCACCATGTGGAGATTTTTCTTACCTTCTCGTCATCCTGACTTTCTCCAAACTATATAATTTTGTGAAAACCATAAAAGCAAAATGAAACAATGAAAAAACAGTAGATAAAATAATTGAAAAATACTCTAATGCTGGGTCAAAGGTCAATGAAAGTCTGAGCTTCCTTCACATGTTCGATATGGATTAGCAGGTGGTGGGTGGAGCAGGATTTTTCAAAGACTTAAAACCAAAGAATATTTTAATCAACTTGTAAACAGGCAGCCAATGCGGCGATGCTAAAATAGAAGTGATTAGAAGTAATTTTTTTTTGCTTTAGTTAAAAGATTTGTTTTTTCAAGGATGATCTACCACAGACAACCACAGGGATCCTAGATCTTTGAGGATGTCCCTAAAAGACACATTTTCTTTTAATCTTTGCATTTTGTGTTTTTGGTAAATTTGGATGATACAAACATGTAGCTATTGTGGTACATCAACTCTTGTATATTTATTTTTTTCCCTTATAGTTTTTCCATTTACAACTTTTATCTGTCCGCAGATATAGGAAGTCCTGAAAACTCAAAGGATAAACATTAAAGAGTTGTTTAGGGTGAGACTCGCCTCAACCTCTATCACTTTACAATTATTTCATGGAAACTGTTTGGGTCTCCACCAAACAGTTAAAAACTTTCAACCTTCATCTTTCAGTCTTTTTGTTAATCTGGTTCATGCCTGGATTGTTTCTTGTCCCTTTGATGTGCCAAATGACCAAAATCAAAGAAATGAAAATTAAATATGCAATGTTTCTGTGGGATTAAATCACAGAAAAGACCAGAAGTCTGCTTGTGTACGACCATCCCTGCTGCATTAAATGTGAAACGACAATGTTGACTTTGACCCTGTGGAGAAACTAAACAAAAACCCATGTCCAACCTCTTCATTACAAACACTCTCAGGCTCACACACAAACCCACTATACAGACATTTTCATTGTGCAGCGCGCTGTGGGGAACTTGCTGTCATTTCCTATCTCTTATTCTGTGTGAGAGAGAATTCTTTATCTTTAGAGGGTGTCTGCAGGGTCTTGAGTCTTGGACCTAGAATTGTGCAACCTTTTCAAATGTCTCTTCACTTCTGTGTTCCTCCCTTCATCATTCATTCTCCTTTATTTCCCTCAGCTACATCTTTCTTGCTTCTCATTAAAACCATATATGCTTAGAATTATCGTCAAAATCAAGACGTTTCCCATGATGTGCTTTATTTAGTATGCTCACAAACCATCCAACCACGCATCCGTTCGATTTTATTACACTCGCAGTATATCTCGCCTATCTCTCTGCACTGAACTCTTTTGATAACATTATGGTTGCCACCAAGAGAGCCGTGGGAACTGAGGAGGTAGGTGTTGTCTAATCCCTTCGCCTAACAAGGTTGGTTTGCGTGGGTTTGCTTAGTCTACGTTAATCCCCTGCGAGGAAGAAGTTTCATCCATTTATTCAAGACCTCGGCAGGAATGTTTGCCAACAGTATTGGTTTAAAATCCAATTAGAAGAAATCATGCAGTGCATCTTGTGAGCAATAAAAGTGCTTTCTAGGAAACAAAACACATTTTTCCACACCAAGAGGCCATTCCTCTGATGGCTTAGCCTCAATATTAAGCATAATGTATCAGATCCACTAAGAATAGAAGTGCATCCAGTGCTCACAGGATGCTCATAAGTGGTGACACGTTTGTGTGAGTGGGCGTCATCAAATGACTCATTTGTCATTTTACTTTAAGGCGTCTTTCTGGCCACCATCCAAGCATGAGAGGTCAAGCAACCTCGAGTGGCTTGCAAAACTGTTGATGTGTGTGATTGTGCAAACAGAATCCCAGGTTCTTGGCGTGTTTACGTTCCAACATCATGCCTGAGGCGAGGCAGCACTTCTTTTTCTCCCATCTCCAACATGCAGAAGCTTTATGCACTTCTCCTTCCTGTGCTGAAAAAGATTTTTTGTTGCTGATTTAATCTTCCAATTCATTCAGCAATCAGCTTTTTTAACAGAACTTTTGAACTGTAGCAGGCTTTTTGGTTGACAAACAAATGTGGATTTTGCTGCTCCCTGTTTCCCCTGAAAACACACTAGAACACAATAATATTAACAATCGAAACGCTTGTCTGGTTTTGAAACTGACCAAAAAGCAAAACAATTTGAGTGTGACAATGATTTAAATGATTACATAAGGCTGTATAATGTTTTGAGCGTGCTCTAACCCTATCATCATCAAAGTCCACCTAGGTTTTGGTTCGTCTTTGACTTGTCTTTGGTTTCAGCATTCAGCACCAACTAACAGAGATTTATACTAAATAAAAAGTTATCTATTGCAGGAATCATTTGACCCAATTCCAAAATCTTGAGCTATTCCTTTAACCAACAAAGTCTAAACACAAAGCTGCTATACAGCACAACTTTCCAGACAAAGTCTTGCCAAAAAAAAAACCCCAACAAACTACTACGTCTTTTATTTATGAAAAGGAGTGCTTCTAGTAATTCGGCAAATATAAAAACAGAATCAATGCAGACCCAAGACGAATGTGTAAACAGTCTGCATCTGTCTCTACAATTAAACAGATGCTTTACACTGGGCCATTTGCATTAAATGCGACAAAGAAAAGTCAGCCTGATCCTTAGCAAACTTTCTCATTCGAACTTAACTTTCTGCATCTCAACTTTGTGCAGCTAATTGAACTGGCTGAGGGCAGTGTGTGGAAGACGACAGAGGCTTTGAATCACTTCCCCTGCAATTCGACAGGCACAGTTTTCGGGCACAAGAAAATGACTGCTGTCGGTGTTTTACAGCCTCATTTGTTGTAATGAGTTAGTGCCTGCAAAGCAGAGCAGACAACAGAGTGTCGACGCTATAATTGGAAGCTTTATTTACTTATTTTTGTTTTTTCCAAATCAAATGTCTTGCTGATGATAGATCTGAGCGTGATCATCTGCCCTTGGAATGTAATAGTTTCCACGGATGGATGACAGAGGCTGCCCCTGTAGCTTTGTGGAGCCCCGTGTCGCAGTTTCCTTCGTCGACAGTCCCCATCCATCACACTGCAGGAAGACACCTGTGGTGGCCACAAGGAGAACAATTGGCTCCTGCAGTCGTTTTCTGTGTTTCGCAATTAAAAGCTTGCACCACATTAGCTCCTCTCTCAGCTGGACTTAATGGGCTACAGATTTTAAAACCAGAAATAAAACGTGAAACTGAATAAAAGGAAGCACAGAAAGGAGTCTGGTGCCTCAGCTAGGAATGGGATGCAATGGGATGAGCCAGCTGGAGCTAAATTAACTATAATCAGGCAAGCAGATGTTTGATATTTGTTCATGGGTTTACAGATGCAAAGGAAGAACAAAGCTGAGGAAGAAGAGAAACTGACATGATGCAACATGAATGCTCAGGAATGAACGTCTGCACCTTATTGGTAAACACAATAACAGTAAAGAGCCTCAGGACCGGTGTGCCTCATGTTGCGGGAAGATGTCAGATACTCAAAGGATAAGACGCAATCATGTGAGGAAGGTCGGAACAGAAGAAAAGGGCAACATCTGTCAAAAAGCGGCACACCGAAAACCTTGCTTGTGTGCGGTTCCTTCAGAAAGTATTCCTACCTCTTCACCACCCCAAGTGGAAGTAAATATTGGGTGCTTTTCCATTATTTTCAGCAAAAATCTGAAAGTTCTGGTTTTCACTTGTATTCAACCAACAGGAGTGAACACTATACAGAACCGCCTTGCTGCTGCAAATTCTTCTAAATATATATGTACCTGCTTTGCATGTCCAGAGAGTGAAATTTCGTCTCGTCCTTGTTTACAAAATAGGTCAAGCTTGGTCAGATTGGGAAGAACGAATATGCGAACATTAGTTTTCAAATCCTTCCACTTAATCGCAATTCTATGTAGGTCTTGACTTTGACTAGGCCAATCTCGCACAATAGGAAGCTTTGATCTGAACCGTTCCAGTTTTCCCCTGGCTGTATTTTTTGGGTTGCCATGTTGTTTGAAGATGAAAATTCGCTCTTGTCTGAAGACTTTTTCATGTTGTGAATGGTTCCATGTTGTTGTCAGCCTATTGGGAAAGGTTGAGGTTTACCTTCATAGGTGGTTAAATGGAGAAAAGGAGGTCTTGATACATATGTCACACTTTTCCCATTTTTTAGTAACATTTATAATGTTTTTCCACTTTACCCAACCCTTTGCATTGGTCTCACACATTAAAACTTTTTCTAAGGCGTTATCTGGGTGTTTTTCTTTATCTCAAAGAGGCATAGCTGTATTACCAGCTGCATCTTTCAAAGTGTTAGAAAAAAAGTAATAGCATATTAAGGGGCAGCCTAGAAATTGCAGTCGCATTTTATTGATCGCATATGGAGATTCCGTTTTGTATTTTTGTCTAAATGAAGCTCTGATTTGTTTCACAGGAACCTGGGGAAATCTGGTTTACGTGTCTCCTGTGTGGGTCTTGGTGAGTACGTTTCATTAAAATGAGCAAATATCTAATGACTGTATAAACAAGCAGGTGCAGCCTAGTTTTAATTATGTGTTTGAGTAATTGATTAGGAGGCCAGCAGATCGGAATCAGACTGCCTTTAAATAAATCATATCATCTCGCCCCATTCTAAGCCTCATTCATTTTTAATTTTTATGGAAAGCCCTGAGAGACAAAAGAGACATTTAGTGAACATTAATAACAGTTTCCCTGTTAATATTTAATCAACAGAGGGGTTTTCAGTAAACAAAGTTCTCTATCATACATATCCAGTCCCGAGCTTCAGGAAAAGTCTCTCTTTCATCCTCATTCATTCAGTAAAACGCTTGTGGGATATTGTTTGTGTTTCACTGCTGTGTGTGTTTGTCACTGTTCTTCAAGGGTTGTCGCCTTCAAGTGAAAATATTTTTACAAGGCACAGAAATGATAGAGTGTTGCCCTGGCTCACCAACCAAAGAGGAAACATTTTAAATGAAACAGTTAATCATTCCTATCAGGGTTTTTTTTTCTCTTAAAGATTTATCCCAGCACACTGAACAACAGCTGAATATTGAGGAAAATACCTCCAGCAGCAAAAAAAAAAAAACAGATTGCTTTCTATCTTGCTGCAGTGCCCTTGGGCAAAACATTTTCTTTTACCAGACTTCTGAAAAAGACGATTAAGAAAAGCAGTTGAGCATAATGTTCTAAGAATATATATATATAAATCTTACATATAATTTTTTTTATTTGATATTTTATCTGTTCAATTCATTTTTAGCAAAATCTTAGAAGCTGTAATTTTCCTGAGCATTCGCTCGGCTGGTGGTCTGAATTGGTGCCACATTAGATTAGTGAAAAAAAAAACCCACAAACAGAGGAAATAATTAGAATAATATGAAGAGCATTTCTTGGTGTGGGTCTCCTGCTGGTATTTTAACTTTGCATGGTTTGCAAAAAGCAGAGTCAGTCACATAAAGTGTAACTTTGCTTCAACCTTGAGACAAAATTATATGTCAGTCGGTCTATCAGTCTGTCTGTCTCTGCTGCGTCTTTTGCAAGGATGACGTCAATATCAAACATAAAAGCAAAATAAAAAACATTTAAAAAAAGGTTCAAATACAACTAATAAGTATGTAAATGAATAAATAAATCCAGCATTAAATATTAGTGTATCTCAAGCAAACATTTACAATTTTTCTGTCGTTTTGGCTCATTTCTCACACCGGCACAACACCTTGTGCATTTTTATAAACAATTAGTACAAACTGCAAAACCTGGTGAAAGTCATCAGGGTAATCAAAATGAAAGTCCTGACTCCATGATAGTCAAAGTTCTTTGTTTTGTTTTTGTGATTACAGTTGACTCTGGAAGTGTTTTCCAATTCAATACAATGCAATCTACAGTTCAATTTTTTCTCTGTCGCATTGTTCATAAGACAGTTCAAAGTATTTGCCATATTTATTTTAGATGTTTGTGTTCAATGGATGAACGTGAAATGATCAAGCAATAAAATCAGGACCTCCAGTACTATAGGAAATGACTACTCAGTTTTCATAAGTTTAGTTCATTTTTATTGACACAACAAGAGCAAATGGTAATGTTCTAAGAGAATGGTAATGAAACAACGAGAAATTTCTACCATGATGTGTAGAAAACCCCTGAGGCCCAATCTTTACACTAAATTGAATGTTAAATGAAATTTCCACTATCACCATTTGAAAACCCTGTTTCAGTTGGTCAGTCTTGTAAATTAAACAGATTGTGTTTTTGCCATTGCCAGCTGGGAGAACGCAGACTGCGCCTACACCAATCTGCTGCATTGCTGCACAGTTGGTTAATGATTTAACACCAAATTTTTCATTATTTTTTATTAGTGAGACATGGTTATAAGCTCCGTCTCATGTCTCCAGGCAGCATCACATTGAAAAGAGAAGATGAATTTGCCAAAAATTCTCATTTTGTCATATTAATGTGCAAAAACCCTGAAAACAGTTTATCATTTTGGTCTTACGGCTCTCCGCCTAAGAAGTCCTTTTAATGGGGACAATATGAGAAGAAGAAAAACACCAACTGCACATTGTAGAAATTGTTGCTGCTTTTTTGCAAGTGACAAGTTAATGACACTGATGAAGGCATCTGGTTTACAGCTACCAACTCAATTATTATTTATTTACTTATTACTGTTTTGGACTCTTGGTTGCACTTAATTTTTATGTTGAATCCTTGGACTGCATAGTTTAACACTAAGCAAAGACTTTTTTAAAAAAAACAAAATCAATTTGATATTTATGAAACAGTTTTTTTTATCTTTTTGTTTGCTAAAATAAAAAGAAGCATTTTGGAATGTCAAGACTGAGAGGAACAAAAAACTGTACTTATTATTATTAATGAGCTATTTTCAGATGCGGTTTGAATATATGCACATATTTATTTTATTTAACCAGACTTTAATTTTTCATATTGACGTTTCCTTCTGCACTAAAAGATATTTCTGTCTGTTGGACGCTGATGGAACTGACAAGCAAATACGTACTTAGAATATGTCAAGTCTTTCTGCCGCTGAATCCCTGTCATTTTTTCATGTGAGATGAAATAAATTAACAAATATTCCTTTCAATGTCCAAAAACACATATTCCTCTTTAATGAACATGCAGCTGACACTGGGCTGTAATGGCTTTAGGACAGTGAGCATTTTGTCATGAGTCTGTGCCAAAAAGGTCAAATTAAAAACAACGGATTTTACATACAGAGTCCTGCATATGTGTTTTATTTTAGATCTGACTTTTGGTATTTCCATCAACAGGAACATGGGTAACATTTGGAGGTCAGATCTCTGATGAGGTAAGGCTTCATGTCACTTCCATTACCACTGCAGCTCTAGAACAGATGCTGGTTTTCATTCTTTTAAACCCAACTGGGTCAAGTAAATGGTGTGCGGTTCACAACCTGGGGAAGCAATTTGTTGCAGCTGCATGTAAAACGATGTGGGTGTGTGTAGACCGCTGTTATTGTCCTGTTATCAGTTCAATAATATCTATGGGGACTGTGGGGTGTCCAGCAAGGCCAACTGGGCATGCTTCATTTTTCACTGTCAGAAGACATCTTTTAATGGTCTGACCCGACCTTGGAGGAAAAAGAATAAAAAGGATACTGAATTGGGGACAACTCATCACTGATGGATGACCATAGGGAGAAACTAATTAATTGCAAATACAAAAATTGGGGAAAGCATATTAAAATGCTTTCCTATCTGATCCTCTTCTTTCCTACTGGATAAAATGAAGGCAGAAGAATTAGGTCAGAACTGTCTGAGGAAGCATCCTGTGTTGTAAACAACTTTAACCCACAAGCAGCCAGTTATGATTTGTGTCTCTGAAGCAAAGAGATTTGCACTTTCTCTGTTTCTTTTGTGAATTCCCTTTCCCTTTTGAGATTAAGTGTGAGTCACTATTTTGCTAGAGTTCAAATCACCACTCTGTCATTAAAAAAAAAAAAAAAACAATGCCTGTCACCTGTCTCTCAGGTAGCAGAGCAGCTGATGACCATTGCCTATGAGAGTGGGGTCAACCTGTTCGATACGGCCGAAGTCTACTCTGGGGGAAAGTGAGTGGTGTCTTCTTCCGTTTGCAATCGTCCCTGCACTTTCCTTGTTTTTTCTGTTGTTACTCTTCAATACAAGGCATTGATTACAGCAAAGTAATCCTAATTTATTTAATTAATTATAACAATTTTGATGCCAGTTTTTATTCATTCAGGTGCTCAGAACTCCATTTTGTTTAATTTTAGCTAAATCTAACAATTCTTATTTGCTTTTCTACTTATGTTTTTTCAGCTATTTTTTCTTTAACATTTAGATAAATCAGATATTGTTCACATATATATGTTTTGTCTCTTTTTTCTCCTATGTCCATTATTTCCATGTGTGATGATTAATCTAGGAGCAGCTGTAGCTTATTCATCACCACCACCTCGACTTTATGTCCCCAGCTCAATCTTACCTTCTATCTAGACATCATCTTGTTGAATGATGAGGGACAAGTAGAAGATGAAAATTAATTTCAAGGTTGCTGCTGGAATTCATGCATATTCTCCAGGAGTCATTTATCTCTTGTTCTACCTGTGGTTTATAATCGGGTTGTAGATGAGCAACAGATAACTTTCATGTTCATGGAGGGGTGATGTGTGCAATCTGATCTAATCTTATCAGTCCTTGGTTGTGTTGCTTTTGGTTTTGTATCTTATCATGTTTTTAATTGAATTTTTTCCCACAGAGCAGAGATAATCTTGGGAAACATCATCAAGAAGAAGTGCTGGAGGTAAAGTAGTGACACCAGACAAACGGCAACAAACTCTAACAAGATGAAAATGTCTCTTATTTTCTCTTCAGAATAAAAGATCCCGGTTTAGTGCAAAGCTGCTGAAACATTGACATTACAAAGCATGTCCAATTTGTCAGGATGCTTAAGGAGAAAAATTAGTCTCTCGTTAAAATGCAATAATTTTAATGGCCTATATTAATAAAAGTTGTACTTACCAGTCCCCAATGAACGTTCAAGCAAACCCCTCAACACCGTTAAAACCGCACAAAAACAGCTTAAGAAACAGTAAGGCTGAGGCAATGAGACGGCCTCGAAACTCCCCACATCCCAGGCACATTTACCATCACTGGGATGTGCCTGAATAGGCGCAATACGTCTGCAAACCCACACAACCCAAAGGATTTGCTGCTGACCTCTCAGAGTCACACAATCAGGACAATCGTGGGGGCTTTGTGACCAAAGACGAAGGGTTAGGCGTTGAGCTCACTCCCAACACAGACAGACATCTATTAAGTCACACAGGCTTTGGACATCAAGGCAATGTACACATTTCAGCCAAATTTTGCAACACTCAGTGTTAATGTTACAAAGAGGCATAATTTCAGACTAATTCAAATTTATATCTGAACAAGTTTTGGCTAATAAAATAAAAACTGTGTTGTCGTCCAAGCTTAACCAGTGAGTGTATGGAAGTATAAACTGATGACAACAGTGGATGTCAGAGGACTTGATGAGACCTCAGTGCTTACAAATGGAGGTCAAAGACTCTGACACCATCTGTGCTGCAATTCACCACCGTCTCCTCTCCCTACCCGCTATTGTTGACTTTGTGGATGGTTCGTCGCAACCTAATTTCTCTTGGTGTAAAATTAAAACAATCTTACATTTATTAATGCTATACTCATAATCTAGTGTAATTACCCTTGGCAACATTTATAAAAAGGAAATGTAATCATCCTTAAAATTTTCTATGGCAGAACTTTTTATTTTTTGAGGTGGGAAAAATAGTTCCCCCAGTCTTAGGAAGCTTGGTCATCCCTGCTTGCATATCAGTCATAAAATGAGATTCCTCCTCCTCAAAGAACCAGATTATATTTTGAGGAAGACTATCTGGAAAATCCTATATGTATATGTATAAGATACAGAATCTCTTAAAAAGTGGCCAACATCATTTAATCTATTTCTGCTTTTGCTTTCAAGAATCTAAATGGTGTGGTGAAATAATGGAAGGTGCATATTTCATGATTATAGTATGTCACCTAATTTATTGTATGTAGGTAATAAGCACTTAATCAAGCATTTGCATGTTAAATTAAGCAGGCTCTGCATAGCAATGTGTTCACTTATTACTATAAACCTGAGGTTTCATAACATTTCACATTTGTAGATGGCTTACCAATATTTTAGCCTGTATTTCACCCGGACTCTGAATGTGTATAAATCATTGATCAATTCAAGCATGGAAGGTTTGTGGGAGTTTGATTGAGAGCATTCAGAGACTTCCCAATGTGTCACTTCGATATTGATGTGAAAGAGGCACACAGTCTGCCACTTCTCTCAGCAGGATGTAAGATCACTGAACAACACTCCTGTCATTCATAGATTTGATTGCTCCACTTGCTTGGGTGTGCACACAGTAGCATAATACCAAACTCACCTTAATGCTAAAACAAAATCATCTCTTTAAAATTTTAAACAGGCCTTTTCCCCTTTGATGTGTCTGCTTCCCTTAGGAGATCCAGCCTTGTGATCACCACAAAGCTCTACTGGGGAGGAAAGTAAGTGCATTTGTGTGGGCATGCAAATTGTTTTTACATATATATACTGTATGTGTATGTCAATTTTACAGCTCAGATGCTCAGGCTATATGACTAATGGCCGGCTAGACGTGAAGCTTTTTCCTCCAGCTCTAGGCCTCCTGGCGTTGAATCAGACATTCAGGGGAAACCCACAGGTGCACACACAGGGCATGACAGTGGAAAAAAATGACAGCCAGCTCCCATCTTGCTTCTGTTTCCATGTTGTATTTAACATCTATATCCCTCAGGCCACACGTCATATTTGCTCCTGCTGTCATGCTGAAATATTGTGAGTTCAGTCCACATTAGTCACATTCCCCTCCCTCCAAAAAGCCTTCAGGTTTTCACCAAGGCAATCGGGTTTCCACCAGTTCTTTCACATTCTTCCTTTGGTTTTCTTTAAATATCATTAAGTCACTACAGAAGGTTACAAGATTGTGAAATTTTTATAGAAAATCACTCTCTCAGGCAAGTGTCAATGTATTTGAAATCTATTTCCATCCTAGATGCATTCAGAGAACAACTACTTCACTCACTAGAGAGTCTTGGCGAGCATCTCTGCTTCACATTATGATACTTGCATGTGATGCATGATTCCCACATGTTTACACAAATGTAAGATTACTTGATCTAAAGAAATTTCAAAGTTTGCACTATAATCAAGCTAGAAGCGAGGGGCCAATTCAGAAACGTTGAAATAATTCATATTGAGCAAAACGTAAGATTAGTTTCGCACCATTTCATAACAAATGTGATCTTGAGGCACTTAAGACAAATATGTCAATTTCAGTTCAGTAAAAGCTCCATCAATGCCTCTTTTCTGGACAGAAACAGCATGAGCCAGGAGTACTTTCTACTAGCAAGAGAAGCTTAGATGCTGGGAGCAATAGCTCTTTCAGCAATGCTATCAGGGATTAAAACACAGAATCACTGACTTGGCATGCCTTCCACAAAATACAGTCATGTGGAACACATCGGTATAAATGAGTAAACAACAGCTAAATGGCTGACAATCTTTTACAACAAATATTTCCATATAAACTACTCTTGCAATACTGCCCCAAGAAACACAGAGCTATATGTCACATAAGATTTAGCAGCCACACAGTCAGGTATGCCCCATGGGAGTGTGTGAGAAACACAGCCAAAGGTAAAGTGGAAATCAGACCTGTCACAAAGCGAGACACCAGAGTAAAGTTAGACATGATAACTTATTTGTTCTGAGTTTCTTCACTTTCTTCAAATAACTAACTTTTCTGTATCACACAGAACGTAAAAGTTACAAGGATGAAAGGTCACATTGAAGGGGATTGTTCTGTCCAAAAGAAGACACTGTTTACAGATTTTCTGTTTTTCTACATTAAACACCTTCCTAAGCCTTTGGATCTACCGAATGTAGGGACAAGAAAAAGCATCCATCATGATTTGTTTGTTGGTAGATTGGGGCTTATAATACAAAATATATTAAACAGCAGAGGCATGGAGTAGTTAATGAAAAAAAAAAAATTAATGCAAACAGTGAAAAAAAATTACAAAATCCACAAAGAGCCAGGGCAGAACACAAATCATAAATCCAAGAAACCACCAATTAGACAGAATTAGGAAGCAAGGATCCAGCGAGGAGTGACTGAGAATGAGGTGCTTAAGTCTTGGGAGGTTGAATGCTGAACAAAAGACCTGGGCTGATGAGCTAACATGTTGTAGAGGTGAAGGGAGAGTGCAGGGAGAGCAGGCAGAAGAGGAAGTGACACAAGTGATTGAGGTACCAGTGTGCCTACACCAAGGTCTAGGAAAAGAATCTAAAAATATAATTAGACATGACAAACATAATAGAACTAGAGCAACTCAGGACTAGGCAAAGAAACAAGCATAACTGGAAAAACTAAGAAGGAACTGATGTAAAAATAAAAACAAGGTCGAACTAACAGACATAAGAACTAACATAAGTAATAATTATACCCAAAACAAATTCAAACAATCCGAGATCCTGACAGCATCCTCCCTGGCTTGAGTGGGTTTGTTTTTTATTATTATTATTTTGTGTTCAGATATGTCTTTAGCAAGTAAAAGATCTAGCAGATAGTGAGAAAACAGTTGCATAACAGACTTCAACAGAAATAAAGTTAAAAATAGATAGATATTGTAGAATTAAAAGATCGGTATATCTACATTGCTTACAGCAAAATTTAAAAGCGACTTGCTCTCTCGCAACAATGGCTGCTCCTCCAGAGAGGCTTTGAGCAACGTAGTGGTTTCTTTAATTATTGCTCTCTTCTCAGTTTAGGTCATTGGCCATGTTTGGGTAGGTTTCCTTTTAGTGGCTGGAAGGGGACATATAGTGAAGAATTTTGTCTGGCATGATTAATTGTCTGCTTTTGCTTTTCTAGCTGAGGTGTTCATGTGTGTTTCTCAGCTTGTCATTTTTTTCATCCTGTTTCAGAGCAGAGACAGAGAGAGGCCTCAACCGAAAACACATCATTGAAGGTAATCTGCCAAAATCCTCCTCTGTGTTTTGTCCTTTATGTTGCACCATCCCTCCCACTCCTGTGTCACTCCTGCAGAACCTCCTTCTGTTATTTTACTTTTTCCTCCCTCCCTGTTTCCGTCTGTATTTCTTCACACAACAGCAAATTCAGCTGTTGACGCAGCAGAATTTGAAAGCAGAATTGGCCGGTGGTGCATCAGACTGTGTCTCACATGACGTGAACAGGTTTCTTTCTAATGCATTCACATTCGAGGTGCTAGAGCCAACTGCAGCGCCCGCTCTTCTATTTTCTCCTGCCCTCTCCCCTTCTTCCTAATTGTTACTTTTCTTGAGTTTATGGCGCAAAACTTCCTCATCCCCTGCTTATGAAACAACTGGCCTCTCCAAAGCGCAATGCACCTCTTACAGTGACTCAGCCCTCTCCCACAATATTAGCATTCACTGCAGCCACTGCAGCGGTTCCCACCAAACAAAAGGCGAATGCACCGAGAAAAGGCGGAATGAGAGGGGACAAGGTTTCAGAAGCAGGAGGTTGCAGAGAGTAAGAGATTCAAGGGAGGCAAAGTGAAGGTTTCATCATCAATTAGTTAAGCCCAGTTTGACTAATGTCCTGGCTGAGTGCAGCATCTGTTGATACTCTCTTCTGCAAAAAAAAAAAAAAAAAGCCCTTCAAGGTCACTTATTTAGGTATTGTAGTTCACTAATCCATAATAATAAGTTCTCCTGGTTTGACCTTGAGTTGAACAAACCTCTAAAAGGCTGAAAATGTGCTGAACATTTTCATAAATTCCCTGACAGCTTGAGCAGCGACTGAACAACTTTTATTGAGCTTCCATTTTAAATGCATCATTTGCTGCAGTTGCCGGCAGAGTTGCTTTGTTGTTCAGCGTGTTTTCTCGCTTCCAAAAATAGATTCCCTTCACGGCCCTTTAAACTCCAGCTAATCCAGCCAACAGCGCCGCGTGATGACGGCGCAAACCCAGATTAGAATCCATGTTAAAAAGTGGTTCTCAGATTGTGTGGGAGCAGATGACAGGGTAAGGTATAAGGCATTCTATCAGCACTCGGAAGTGGTGTATCTCTCAGCTGGGATTAGAGGGTGATGAAGAACCCTCTGGCACTAATCTGCCACACACACTCTCTCTTACTTTTCCATGTCTCTATTACGCTGCCATCCTCCTTTGTTGCAGTCTCCTGTGTACGCTTTTCATTTCTCATCTGGTTTTAAGTTGAGCAGGCGCTGAGAGTGACCTTTCTTGTGTTTCCATGTCTTCTTTGAGCTTGATGTGTTTGGGTCACCCCCTCCCCCAACACACACACACACACACACACACGTCCAGCGTTGTTTATGTAAGAGGAGTGAGGATTTTACAGGTACAAGTTGTTTTTTTCACTTCATACATTGGATCTTCTTGTCAGAAAGCAAGCTAAGTTTCAGAGGGATTATCTTTAAGACTTGTGGCGTGTTTAAAGAATGCTTACTTTCAATCAAAGACTGCTTTGGAATGCTTAAATAGGATTTTTTTTTTTTTATGCATCAGCCTTTTCTGGATCTTTTACTGCTAGTTGAAAAATTCACCAATAATAAAGCAAAAATGTTACTGTCTTAACTTTCAGTCACATATTTAACATATTTGGAAAACAATTAGCCACTAACTATTAACTTCTTAGACTTTCACAAAATAATTTTGTCTCTCGCTTTGTCATCAACAATCTGGCCCCATTTTGTTGCTTTTGAGAAGCAGAACAAACCTTTTCGATATTCTTGAATAAAATTTGCAAATAAGCTGGGATCAAAAAATATGGCAGGCCAGTCACAGCTGAAATATTTTAAATGAGCTGGCACTTTCTGACATCAGGTTTTCCAGGATAATGAGGGCTCGATTTTAATGTTTTTTCACCAAGCTAGTGCTTTTTGAAATGTCTCTTTCTTGTTGTTACTTTAATGAGGACATTATCATGGATTGAGCTTGCATAAATCTGCAGAAAGCTCACAATTTTGGTACAATTATACAAGAAAAGCTTGGAAAATTGGATCAGGTCCTGCTTCGATTGCGGAACATGAATATGCAGAACGCGAGCTGCTGCTGAATGCTTTGCACTTCACTTTTTCCTGTCCAACCCTATAAATCGTTCTAATATATTTAATCATTTTTCTCACCTTAGGCTTAAAAGGTTCCCTCCAGAGGATGCAGCTCGAATATGTGGATGTGGTTTTTGCCAACCGGACAGACAGCAACACTCCTATGGAGGGTAAGTGATTTTTGATCAGACCTCTGGAGGCTGTTGGAGGGTTGGGAGCATAACATGAGGCATTCTGTTATATGAGAAGGTGAGAAATATTATTGAGGCCACTGCCTTTGCTGAACTGATGGCTTATATCTGTTTAGTCAAGTAGAAGTGAATTCCTCTGACCCGCGCTGACATAAGTTAATATGATAATCTTGCCTCATTTCTCGTCCTCTTGTCCTCTATTTTCATCTCCCGGTCTCCCTCTATTTCTCCTGCGTCTCTGTGGGACTGCTGTCTTCCACAGGGTCTCTGCGCAGCGCCCGCTCCCAGCCCTCCCTGCTCGTCAGAAGCAGGATTATCTGCCTCCTTTGGGAGCGGCTGGTATATTTTTGGGTTGGTCTCTCTTTCTACCAGCCCCGCTGTGCACTTGTACTTGATTTCTACTTTTCAAAGCTTCAGTGATGCATTTCCCTTGCATCCACCATATGTTATTATTAATTTCTTACAGACATTTCCAGAGCTTTCCTCAATTACTTCTCTTCTGAAGAGACTTGAGATTCTTTTTTGTCTCTTCACACAAAAACCTTCTCCAGAGGTGGTATCCGCCTAAAGGCATGGTGTCTTATTGATCTCCTAAAAATATGTTGCTCCTCATTTCCTTCCCCTTTGTTGCCTCCCTTGACAACCAGCTGACTGTGGGAGGCCAGTCTGTCATACTCATTGTTCCAGAGGCCCGGCTGTCATTATTAGCTGTGATAACTGGCAGGTAAACCCCACAGCCTCTCCTGTCAAATCAGATTTGGTCCTTCAGATTGTGTCACTCCTTTGATGCGATAAAATTTCAAAGTCAGTCTGACTGATTTATTGGTCAATGATCATATTTTAGTGAACATAACTTGAGCTCCCTAACTCCTGACTACTGTTTCAGTAAGTTCTTAATAGTAATAAAAAGCATTTGCTATTAAACTAAAGTGTTTGTGCTTTTACTTTTGATTTAAGTTGCTTTATTTATTTTTAAATCAAGTAATTAAAAAACAAGCAGTGATAAGTTATTGTGAAATATTCAAGTGGTTCCTTATGTTCAGATGTATGCCTTTTGGAAATTAAGACACTTTTAAGTTTGTTATGCTCTTTACAAAAAAAAAAAGATTTGCCACAGTTTCTGATCACTGTTGTATGATTACAATAATAAAGAAACAGGCCTGAACATCTATAATAAAGTCCTGCAAACATTCACATAAATCATCTAATACAAAATCATTTTAACTTGATTTTGGCTTATAGCCACTGTAAGATTAATGCCATGCATCAGTTCTGTAATGTGCCCCAAATACTTTCCACTGGTTGCTCTTTCCTCTTGGGACCTCTGCAGCATGCTGAACTTGTTATTCACATCTTGTTTTACACACAGGAATCAATATAAACCAGCTTAACAACATCAATTGTAGGAGGAGGCATGGTAACATTTTAAAGGGACATCTAGCGGTAACTAACAGGTGCTTATGCATGCATGTGTTTGCATAACATACGACCTTGTATGAGACAGCTTGTGTCCCCTTGGGGATGAAAAGTGATGTCATGGCAGCAGAGTCTGTCTTTATTATCATCACTGCGCCCCTTATCCCATGGCCTTATTCTTCTTTGACTCTTTCCAGTCCTCTGATATTTCTTCCTTTATTTAACTCCATTTCTCACAAGACTCTTGTTTATTTTCTTCTACTTTTTGTTGCGCCTGTCAGTTGGAAAGTTGGTACTGCAAAGATGGTTTCCCCCAATGTGGAATTTTATCTGGCATGTCAAAAATTGTGTCATTTATAAGAATTGTCAAAAAGCACACACAATGAAATTTCTGCCTGCTGGAGCAGAACGCATGTCAATTATTGTACTAATAGCTACACCAAAACCTGATAACCAAACAGCCCAAGGCTCCGAATGGGCAAACCAGTCATCCTGCATCTGATTTTAGATAAAGAACATCACAAAGGTAAAAACATTCCATCAATAAAATTATTTTATGACGATACCAGCATCTTGACATACTTCTCTGTAGAATAGCTTCAACACCTGCCTTCATTGTTATCAAATCCTTCCCTCTCAGAGCCCGTAAACCTTGAATGCGGTTTTCCAAGGCATTGGAAATATCCCCTGATGTGATATATTGATGAGCAGCACACTCTCTGTGTGCATGCAGGAGGAATATAAATAAAGCTTCAAAAGGCAGAAACATCTCCAGAACAAATCTGACAAAAACACACCGACATCCACGGAGACACCTGTCCAGACATGTACAGCTATTAGTGTGTGTTGAGGGTTTTCTCACACTTATTGCTTCACGGTTCAGAAGGGGCACTGTCATACCTGCTGGCTGGAGCTCACCAAATGTTCCAGACTTTGTGGCTCACTGCTGCTGGGAAAGAGCTCAAGGACATGCAGAAACGGGCTAAAAGCCAAGGAACTTTCTGTTATGTGCATACCAACAGAGGAGATTTGGATGAGCAAGCAGGAGGAGTTTATTGCCTTAATGAAGAGTTTCTTTTTCTGTCATGCAAGCGTTTCTTTATTAATCCAAATAAACTTAGCTTTTTCTTTTCTTTTTTTTTTTTTTACTGAGCTTAGGAAAAACTAGGCAAGATGTGCTGGAAATCTCAACTAAACTTTAAATGTTAAAAACAAACAGGTTAATAGTGCATTTCTTTTCTCTCTGAAGTTGAATTTTCTCACTTTGTGTTCCAAAAAACTAAGACCACCTAATTTTTAAGAGTGAAAACCTTTCCTTTTAGTATGGTTTTCCTTCTCAATAAATTTAACACATGGTATTGTCAGCTAACATATTAGCTGACAATACCATTATTGTCCATTACCCAAACAATTTCAAAACCATATTTGTGATGCTCTAGAAGAGCAAAGTTAAAAGTGGCCACATTAAACTGTGACTTTACTCCTCTGGCTCTGATATACCTATAAACCGTCACTCCATTGCAGACCACACAGTAAAACATTACCAAAAGAATTAAGGTGCACTTTAGTTCCATTCTTCAGTTGATATTGGTATGTGAAGGGCAAGGCAAGTATAATAAGTAACAAGTCCCCTTTGAGATAGAGTCTTTATAAACCACATTTGCCAGTTTCGTGCTTCATGTTTTTCTCTTTCTGTCCTTGCATCCCTCAACATCCTGTCTTCCATCCATCCACTTTGGAGCAGATCCTCTACCCTCCCACCTGCTTCGCCCATGCACAAACACTTGGTCTCTGTCTCCCACGGAGACACAATTTGGTTTGAAGTAAGATCCGGTAATTAAAGAAAATCATTAGTTGTCTTTTTTCACTCTTCTGTGGATTTAAATCTCTTCCTAATTCGCACCCTATCAACTTCACACTCTTGCAGCAGCATTTGCATTGTGCAAATGGAATAGAGGTTTTATGAACTGGCATGCAAATGCAATATTACGCAGACTGAATTTGGTAATGAATAATTTGTGTACAGTGAGACATTCATGTGATCTACCAGCAGAGAATTTCCTGATTTAAAAGCTATTTTTGAAGTTTTTTACAAATGGATTCATGAATAAAGCTCTTTTGCTTAGCAGGTAAATAACCAAACAGAGCATTTTTGCTTCTTTCCAGGTCATAATCACACACACCTGAAGGCTACAGCTGACTTCTCTCCCTTCAGTTTCACCTCGCTTATGTATTTACACGGCACAAGAAGCATTTTGTCAAGGCAGCTTTTTCACTTAGGGCCCCACAGCATTTGCACACATGTGCGCAAATGATCTGATGTGACCCCAGCAAATCGCATGTGTGTACAAACAAGTTTTAATTAAAGTAAACCCTGGAGCTGCCAGCTTCAGCAAAAAAACAAAAAAATAAACAAACTGTGTCTTCTTAAGGTCTTCCAACTTTCAGTGGTTGCACCAACTAATATTCAAATGTCAAAAATGCACTTACTTAGTGTTCCATATTTGTGTTTTTATAGAAATTGTGAGAGCTATGACTCATGTGATTAACCAAGGGATGTCCATGTACTGGGGAACATCTCGCTGGTCTGCCATGGAGATCATGGTAAGTTAATGCAAAAGATATTACACGACATGGAAGGTTAGATGAATTAATCGATATTAATTCATTGTTATAAGTCCATGTTGTCACTAATTTATTGTCATCTGGGAAAATACCTCTGCCTCATTATGTCTTATTAAGAACTAAAGAAACTTATCAAATAATGTAGTTTGTTCAGCATAGATTTCTGTTAAATGTGATTTCCAACTCATAAAAAAACATTTAATAATGTATATATTTTTGACATTGCTTAAAATTTGACTATTTTTTCTTTAAAATGTAGTAAGTAATAATGAAGCCAATAAAAACAGAAGGCTAACATGCTAAAAAATGATAATATATGCAGCTCTGGGAATAAATATAAGTCGTGAAACATAAAGGTCAGTGTTGCATGTTTCCTTTATCGCTTCAATTTCTATTTCCTATTTAATTAGGAAGCCTATTCTGTGGCCAGACAGTTTAATCTTATTCCACCGGTGTGCGAGCAGGCTGAGTATCATTTCTTCCAGCGGGAGAAGGTGGAAACTCAGCTTCCTGAACTCTACCATAAAATAGGTAACTGTAGCAAGTTTCCACTTATTTTCAGTGAGTTTTGTCCTGGATAGTCCACATCATATGTCTCTGTTCTTCCATAGGTGTGGGTGTGGTCTCTTGGTCTCCTCTGGCATGTGGGATTATCACCGGAAAGTATGAAAACGGCATCCCAGAGTCCTCAAGAGCTGCAATGAAGGTAAAAATGTAATTTTCAGGGATCAGTCCTCTAAGAATTATTCTGTAATGCAGTATAAAGTGCCAAAGTGTTTTATAATTTTTAGCCACTTCACAATTGTCCATGTTGCACAAACTTTGAAACATTTTAATGGGATTCTATATGAACGCATAGGATTGGAAAGTAAAACAATACGTGCTCCTAAAATTCATTGGAAATAAAATTCTAAAGCTAATACAGCATTCTCTAACAAATCTCTAACAAATCTGTATAGCAGTGCAATGCAATGCTATACAGTTATGGTTGTCTGCCTACATTGACAGGGCAAGGAAAGCTTTAATCAGAGAAGTAGTGAAGAGGTCAAAAGCTCTCAATGAGCTGGAAAGTTTCACATTTTGAAAGGAAAAATCTTTTTCTAAGAAAACTGTGGTGTCAAAAGATTGTTGTTCTTCCATATAAATCTGGTGTTAGACTGACAAAAAAGAAATTAGTTCTTGAAAGAAATTAGGCAATGTAGGGGAGTCAGCAGGGAGGCAAAAGAAACTGCTTGTGTCAGAAAAGACCTCAACTGAACCCTGCTAAATGGTGCTGAATGATGGCTCAATAAGCTATTACATTAGCAGGTCTAGTTGTACCTATTAATACAACAGACTGACATGCATTCTCTTCCAGGTCTGATGCCTCATTGTGTATGCTGTCTGACAATTCTTACAAATGACACAATTTGATGGCAAATTGTGTCATTTGTTAGATGAAATTCCACCTTGGGGAAAACCATCTATGCAGCCCCAGCTTTATAATTGACAGGTGCAAAAATAAAAAGAAGAAATGAAACAGGAGTCATTCTTGCGGGACAGGGGAATTAATCACTGTTGACGGGGAGATGGATGGAGCTAAATGCTGGCAATCCTAGAAGAAAAACTGTTATCCTGGAAGGATCTGAGACGGGGATAATTTATTTTCAAGCAAATAAACAACACTGCTGGACCTACAATTTATTGGTTTAAATCAAGGAAGATTAATGGGTTAGTATGGCCCACTTAAAGCCTGTAGAAGTCTGACGAATGACTTGTTCACCAGTGCTCTTTGTTCAATTTGATTGAGCTTGAATTATTCTGCAAAGAACAGGCAAAAATATAGGCATCCAAATGGGCAAAATTGGTGGTTACTTAGAATTGTTATTTTAGCTAACAGTGGTTCTAAAAAGAAAGGCTAAATATGAATGCATGCCTCATGTTTTAAAACCACAAATTATAGTTTTCCTTCAATTCACAATAATGCACTACTTTGTGTAGAGGGCCTTGAAATTCTAATAATACCCATTAAGGTTTGTGGTTGTAAAGTAACAAAAGAGGTTCAATCACTTTTGTAACACTATGTGGTTTAAGCTGTTTTTTATGTTGGAGGTTTAATGCTGTTCATGCATCTTTATTTTTCTAGCCATATCAGTGGTTGAGGGAGAAGATAACGAGTGAGGATGGAAGAAAACAGCAATCCAAACTAAAAGAACTGACTCATATTGGAGAAAAATTAGGATGTACCTTGCCACAGTTAGCCATAGGTAAATATCAAAGTAAATTTTTCATTTCCGTTGTGTCCACTGTTAAATATATTTTCATTAGAATTACCATGACCCTGTTAGACTAATATTCTGCTAACCTGATCTTAAGCCTGGTGCTTGAGGAATGAGGGCGTCAGCTCAGTGCTCCTGGGGGCCTCCAATCCCACGCAGCTGACAGAAAACCTGGGAGCCATTCAGGTACACATTCAAGCCCTTTCCAACATTTGCTTCTTTGTGTTGTTGCCCAGCATTGTCAGCGTTTGATGATGCACTGTTGTTTTTCTTCTGCACATTTTAGGTAATTCCAAAGATTACAGCAGGTATTGCTTCAGAAATGGACCATATTCTGGGCAACCGTCCACACAGTAAAAGGGACTACCACCACTAGGATGGACACTTTCTACTAAACTACGCTCATAAGGCTTTTCAAAGCTCACTTTTCACAGCCATGGCACCATAAGTGCGTGCCCATGACTGCGTGTATCTGTGGAGGACTGTGTGATTGTACTTGGCTCTTTCAACTCATAACTGTGAAGTGGGCTACATGACGACAAAGCGTGCATGCAAAACCAGCCAGTTATCAGACTGAACACGATTTGGAGGATCCATCAAGACAATTCCCTGCATCGAAAAGAAAAACCTCACCAACAGCGAACTCTGCAGTAGGTGCTCACCCATAAAGTGCTGGAAAAAGAATAGAATTAATTGTTTAAATACTCAGTTAAAATGGCTGTCAGTGCATGTAGAGAAAACTACTGAGGAATTAATTACTCTAAGCATCCAATTAAGCATAGCAGAGCACTATGATAATAGATTATTTGCATCAAAATGGACCTAATGCTAGAGAAATCTATTTTACTCTATTTTACTGTATAATGTAAAAAGAATTACAAATGGTGATTATAATGAGCCATATTTCAGCACAATGAATGAACATTCCCCAATGCAGCTGGAGCTTGCTTGTCCATGTGATTCCTTCAGAACTGGAAGATCTAAATGTCAGCTAAACATTGTTTTTTGCTATCGCCATAAAAAAAGTTTAATTAGTTTAAATGAAATAAATATATATATATATATATATATATATATATATATATATATATATATATATATATATATATTATATATATATATATATGACTCAAAACATATGTAATGACTGTTACATAAGTATGTATTTCTTTAATGAGCAGTTATGTTGTTCTGTTCTCTTTTTTACTTATGCAATAGCACCGCAGAGTGTATTTTCCTACTGTGCCCTTTCAACCTATTTTCGTTTGTACGCTGGCAGAGTTTCTGTCAGTAGGAATTGTATCTGATTCATTTCATTTCAGTTGGTACTGTGGACAGAAAAGTGTCTCATTTAAGTCGGGGTGATGATCCTCCCGCAGGGGAGCTTGTGGATAACAAATAAAGCTATGTGGCTAATGGAGAGACATAGTGGTGAAAAAAATTTAAAAGAACACCATATGGACCCTTGCAGTAATTGCACCTGGAACAGAGTTTATTCCCAGTTTTTCCCAGATGGTTGTTTTATTTAATGGGATCATCTTTGCTACGTTCTGTTTGTCCAGATATGTATTATGGTGTTGTTCATCAAATTTGTACTTGAAAATTAAAGAAACGCTTAGAATCGTATGCCTCCTAGTTTGACTCAGAAAATTGAAAATGTCAGACTGTCGGTAAAATGCAGAAACAAAAGAATCTTTAGGCATCTTTATATTATGAACTTTTACATACAAATAGTGTAATTTATTATTGTATGTGTTTGAGTCATAAATATGAAAATGCTTGGTGGGGGAGATGGCATTCTGCCTAGGGCTGTAGAAGGAATTAACCTATATTGCTGAAAATAGGTTTGAAGTTGGAGGGAACTAAAAGTTTGACCCAACTCACACAGTATAAAAGTAATTTTACCAAAACTTGAGATGTATGTAATTCACTAAATTTGGAGAAAAAAAAATTTTGTAACTCATTCTGGAAATTGAAACAATATTGGTTTTCCTAGTTGACAATAAGTCATATTTGCAGCAGTGGTAGCAATGGTAGAAATCATAATTATTACATAATTTAATCCAGAGTCATGGTAGATCTTGTGGAATTCCTTGCTGCTTTTATTTTATTTTATTTTATTTTATTTTATTTTATTTTGCTTGGCTTTGTCAGAACGATTCCGTGAAGGCGGGTTTTCCGGTTAAAGTATCCAATAGAATTTCTGCAATAGCCACAAGCAGCTCCGATTGGCTAGAAGAAAGGTCTCCCGAAACCCGCGGTTTCCAAAAATAACACTCGGGGGAGTACAGATGGTAGCAGGCCGAGTATTGTCAGTAACAGTAACTAGGCCTGTTTTTAACTAACAGTAACCGTCTGGAAGGTCGTGACGCTTTGACACTAACCTCGTCCAAGAATGCGGCTTTTCAGGTGAAGCGAGTTACCAAAGCAAAAGCTGAGTTCAGCGGGTCTGTTTGCTGTAGCATTAGCATAGGAGTTAGCAGCCAGAAATCTCACCGCAGACTCCGTTACCTTGTCAACTAACACCAACTGAAACTGCCTCCTAACAACGAGGAAATACAAGCCGCCATACTGGAGCTGATGTGGGTGTAAAGGCCACTTCACCAGCTGCCCGGGTGTCCATTAAAACCTCCTCAGTTTGTTGACTTCCACCTCAGACGATGAAAAGCAATGTCGACTGATATTAGATCATACATTAGCTTGGGAGACAAAGGACATACCATCTGTGTGCTACCCGACATCTCCTGCGATCAGCTGAAGGATGATTTAGACCTGAATAAGTCATTCCCAGGTACTCGGACACCGAGCAAAAGCAAACGTTTTGACGCTTTGCAACATCGCGATTATCCTGATTTTATTACAGGTGAGATTCATTTCTACATGTCAGCTTGACGAGTCTGGATGCTTGAAGTCCACTTAAGCCAAAAGCTGAAGCACAACTAATTAGCGCTCTTATTGGAAAGTGGATAATTGTGTGTTACAGGTGAGCCTTTGGATGTTTGCGCTACAATGGCAACAAAAAACCATTGTTTACTTTCTGGCTCCCAAGTTTCTGCTGACTCCTTTCCAAATTCTTCCACTGAATCCGAGGAAAGCTTCATCAATCTGGTTATTTCTCGAGACTTTGCTCTGTCAGGATATCCATCTGCCATCAACCCTAACAAAATTGTTCTTGCCGTCTCCCACAAAACAACCGAGGTTCTGTACATGCATTCAAACATTTACTGAATAGCTCTTAATATCTGGAAAATAACAACTTGATTAGGTCCTTTTTCTTTTCATTTTTCTTTTCATTTTTCTTTTTTACAGATTTTATCAGCGAATGACCAGGCGGCCAAACTGTTTGAATGTTCCATTGAGGACCTGGTTGGAAAGAAGTTGTCTTCTGTCTTAAAGAAAACAACTCAAGTTTTGGAAGAATCACTGGAAGAAGATTATCAGCTTGCAGATGGAACTGTTGCTGTTGTGTCTGGAAAAGTGGTATGAAATCCATTAAAACTGAAATTGTTTTCTGAGTTTTATAGCTCACCATGTAGTTAACTGGGCTGCATGATATGAAGAAAACACAATGTCATAATAATGTGTCATCATTGCAATGTCCCCGTGACATTTAACCTCTTGGTGACTGAAACTTGAATCACACACATGAATCAACTGGCAAAATATATCATTGGCAAGATGAGTTTGAATGCAACCTTCTTGAGAAATTGTCGATATTGCATCCAGGCAGAGCTTTGTTGTGGTAATATGGAACACATGAATCTTGTGTTACTATTGTGATTCAATGTATTGTACCAATCTTGTGCTCCATGAACTACAATTGTCTACTCTCCTGGTGAAATATATGTGTGCCTTTTTTTTGTGATTTTGTTTTCGAGGTGGATGCTGTGACATTATCTGGAGAGGTACCAGTATCAGTGTGTACCCACAGGAAGTCAGAAAATGAAGACCACTGGCTTATCATGATGGAATGTGTGGAGAGGATATCCTCCTTTGTGTCCTTTTCCCAAGATGTGAGGACACCAACATTTATCCTGGACAAATTACCTTCATATGATGATACTTCTACTGCACAGAAAGATACAGAACTTTATGCTTGTATCTTTGTCTGTCATTAAATTAGACTAATCCCGACCAGTTTTTCATTCAGATGTTGTGGATCAACATATCAGAATCTCACAAAGTCATGACATATACATTTGGGCTTTCCTAGATTGTTTGAATGTTTATCTAAACCTCTAAATTTAAAGAAAATAAATATTATAATTCTAGCATTTAATACAAAAAAAATATATTTAGTAAACATACCTGACCTCAACTTAAAAAATAGCTTTGATTTAATGACAGACAGTGCAGAAAAAGGGATTATGTGTCTTTTCATATAAATGTTTGATGTCTGCTGCATATTTGATGTCATTTTAAGGGCTCTATCCTAAGCTGTGACTTGGCGTTTGCTTGTCTCCATGGATATCACAACCCCGAGGAGCTGAAAGGAGTGTCTGTAAAGGAGCTAATCCCATCTTTACAAATCCCCGTCTACAGTCATGTGTTGCCGAAAGTAAGCGCAAAATACAATTTACCTCTTGACATCTCCCTTTTTTGGCATTTAAAAAAAAAAATTCCAGTACCTAGTGTTGAAATAATATTTTAAATTAGCACAATACTGCACAGGATAGTGTTGATACATTTGAAATATACCATAGAAAGTTAAAGTACATTCTACATTCACATAAATTTAGATAAAGATCCAAACTAAAACAACTGCTGAATCTCTGAACTTATATAAATTCTTAGGGAGGATTCTACAGAAAAGACAGGCCTAGAATCTCTTTAGACAAAGAGTCTGTCTGCCAGGCAATTAACAAATTCCTTAGCATGGTTCAAAAGTTCACTAGGATCTTAAAACTTTTTATAAATAATTTTATCTATATTAGAATTAACTATATTTCTTTAAGCATGTTTTGAATTAGTTACTTCTTAGATCCAAACTTATAGTCATTATTTAGCATTACATTGTGTGCAAGCTTGGTTAAAAATACAAACTACTTTCTTGTGGAAACATTTTGAGGCACAGATAGCGCTGCAGCTGCAATCATATATCAAACTGGACAGCGGCTGATACGAGAAGGGTTTGCCGTATATCTGCTTTTGGGGCTCTTTAGCACGAGGTAATAAAATTAACATTGAGACAGCCCACACAAAGGAAAAGAACACACCTCCTAATACATATATTTAAATGAGGAGAATATGCAGTCTATAAAAAATGGTTTGTTTCACAGCAGAAGTTGGAATCTCTTTGTGCTGAGTGAGAGTTTCCCGGAGGATGCATCTTCTGTTATTCTTTTGTCTTTTTTACTCAGTTCTTTGTCTCTGTTTTGTAATGTCTTGGACTTTTGCTCTAGGTGAGATGCTTATTGTAAAGTTCTTCTTGGATTGAATTTCTCTGGATAAAACTCTGAATATCTGAAGTCTGACGTCGTATGATTGCTCTTTTCTCTCTGCACACTTACACAGACACAGGAATTCGGGACAAAGAATTAATTAAAGAGCTAAATCAATTTCTTCATCATTTTAATTCTTAACACTAGCTAGTGTCCATCAGATCTTTTTATCTTAGCATTTCATTATTCTGATTATGACAACATTTTCTCCTTTCTTTCAGATGCTGAGGGTTCAGAAGGTGTGTGGAAGAAGCACAGGAAGTGCATCTGTCCCACTCTATATGAAACTTCAGGGGGCAGCGCTGTGTGGGAACCCGCAATACCACCACACCGATGGCGGCACCTTGTCAAGACACGCCTCCCATCTCCTTTCTCCTGTGAACAACATGAGACTTTCAGATCATAGGAATTTCGAAGAAGCTCTAACTAAAGAGCAATCTTCAGGTTGGTTATCTATTATGTGTTTATAAATATTGCAGCATTAATCACCAGAAATTTCTCCTCATGATATGACAGGAAACATGAAAGAAATGGTTGTTCAATCACGCATCAAGTCAAAAAGCTTCAATGAGCTGAAACAATTCAGTAAACTCCCAGAG